TAATAACTTCAAAATAAAGAACAGTAAGAGAAATGATATGGAAAGTCATAGTAATATTTTTGATTAGGGCAGTAAGAGGGGTTGTTGTAAATGAGATCATAGAAGGAGAGCTTAATATTGAAAAAATAAATCCAATCTTTAGTTATTCAATTGATTTTACATCAGATGATCCAATTAAAGAATACACCATGCTAATGTTAATTAATGAGACCAAAAAAATAGGTGCAGTAAATTGTAATTTATCAAATGAAGAATACACAAAATATCCAATTAGAATCAAATAGTTTGACAAATTAAAAAATAAATTAAAAAGTAAAGAAGGGAAATTAACAAAAGAAATAGTGGGAAAGAAATATTCAATAAACAAGAAATAATATTAGAATTACCTAATATAACAAGCGGAATAATAAATTGTAAAGAAAATCATATTGGATTTACAATTAAAAGAACAAAAACAAAGAGTTTATTTAATGAATATATAATGAGGTATCATGGAAACTTATGTCCAATGTCTTTATATAAAACTATAACTTGTATTATTAATGTTCATTGCCTTCAATCACAAATTATTTCTAAAGCACCATTTTATCAAGTTATTACAAATAATAATAATGTTCAAAGGTTTATTCTTGAAGATTATATTGGAACTAAAAGTCATTGGTTTTTTATTGACTTTTATAGTTTTATTGATCCTATTCAAATTGAATTAATTCAAAAATTTATTTCTATTGAAAAGAATCAAAATTTTATTGAAGAACATTTTATTAATGTAAAAAATATTGGAAATGAATTAGATGGTCCATTTGAAAGAATACAATATGAAGAATTTATAAATGAAAGTATTTGTTTAAAAAAAATAATATTAAAATTACCATTAGAAAGTCAAATTGATAAATATTATGATTCAACTGGAATTATCTATGGGCATTCATCAAAAGTTAATAAAAATAATAATGTTATTACTATTCAACCAAGATACCCTTTGTTAGGTGGTTGGTCTACTTCATTTTCAATTAATTATCATTATAAATTCATTAATAATAATAATTTAAATATATTAGAAGTTCCTCTTATAACAAATAGTTTCCCAATTGGTGTATTAAATTATTCTATTAGCATCAAATTACCTTTTGGAATGAATATTAAAAAGTATTGGTTCAATCCTTCTATTAATAACATTCTTTCTTTTTCTTTTAAAGAAGATTACTTTTTTGGACTATTTTCTTCTCAAAAAATTCAAATTGAATTAAATAATATTGTTTTGGATCAAAATCAAATTTATTTAATGATTGAATATGATAGTTTTGATTCTTATTATCAATTATTTATTAAAGTGATATTGATTACTTCTCTTTTAGTAATTATTACTATAATTAATTATTTAACAATTTAATACTTCTTTTATTTATTTTTTGTTGTTTTTCCTTTTTTCGTGTTATTTTGAAGATATTAAAATAAAATGAAAAGATAAAAAGGAATAAATAAGAAGTAAAATGATGAATTAGAAAGAAAAAATAGAATAGAATAGATGCAACTAGAATATTTCTTATATTATAGAAACAAAATAACTAACATGAAAAAAAAATAAATGTGAATGAGTGAATTATTTGATATGTGTTGAGTAAAATTAATAGTAGTAAAGTTTTATTGTAGGTACAAAAGATAAGAATTAGAAATCACAAGAACCAGATATAAAAGTATTACTAGAAAAATCACTAGAATAATCTGAACTATCATCAGAGAAATCAAATGAGAATTCAACTTTTTTTACTTGTAATGGACTTATTGGAACAAAAACATTACCAATATCACAACGCAAGAAATTAGTATCAAACCCATTATTATTAATACTCATTTGTAATGAGTTTAATGTAGGAAGAAGTGGGTTAGCGTTGCGGCAAGTCATTGAATGATAAAAATGAGTATTGCTTTAAATATCTCTGAATAGCCAATAAAATGGTTCCTTTTTATTTTTTCTTTCTATTTTCTTATTTTTAGAATTCTTTCTAATTCTTTTTATTATTTTTTTAATTATTTTATTTATCTTTCTAAGAATAAAGAAGAATCTAGTCTTCTTATTTAATATAGTTTTTATTATTATATCTTAATCCTTTTTTCAAAAATAAATTTCAACTTAATTACAAACAAATCATTATATTTCAGTTTTTATTCAAATCAATTCTTCTCTTTACTTCTTTTAATGTTTTTTTCTGAAGTGAAATACATACAACAATTCAAACTAGTATATTATAATTAATTTATTTTTATAGGGGTAAATATTTGTTTTAGCATAAAAACCCGATAAATACCAATATTATTCAAATTTAATTTGTTGATAAGTAAATAAAAAATAACAAAATTTTATAATTAAAGAAAAACAAAAAATTTGAAATTTATTTCTATTTTATTCTAAAAGATCTTTAATAAAAATATGTACTAAAAAATTATTTAGAAAGAACAAATGAGTAAACCCAAGAAGACGTTATTAAAAATGATTCTAATTGGGGACTCTGCGGTTGGTAAATCATCATTAATGAATCAATTTATTAACAAATCTTTTACTGCACAATATAAAGCAACAATTGGAGCAGATTTTTTAACAAAAGAAATTGATGTTGATGGAGAGAGTATTGCCTTACAAGTCTGGGATACTGGTTTGTTTTTTCAATTAAGGGGTAGTTGTTAATCAAATCTAACAAATCAGCTGGACACGAAAAGTTTATGAGTTTTGGACAAGCATTTTATCGTGGAAGCGATTGTTGTTTCTTAGTTTTTGATGTAACAAATGAACAATCATTTCAGTCTTTAGACACATGGAAAAATGATTTCTTATCTGGAGCTAATCCTACAAATCCTACAAATTTCCCATTTGTTGTAATGGGAAACAAAGTTGATGAGGATGCAGCAAAAAGAGTTGTTAGTAATGATCAAGCAAAGGAATGGTGTGAAAATAATGGTGACATTCCCTATTATGAAACTTCTGCTAAATCAGGATTGAATGTAGAAGAAGCATTTTTGACTGTTGCTAGAAAAGTAGTTAAAACTATGAAAAAAGAGGATAATCATTCAGTCCCTATTAGCACTATTTCTATTGATGGTAATACTACAACTGAACCAAATAAGAGCTGTTGTTAAATTCAATATTAGGTTCTCCTTTTTTACTCATTATATCTAATTATTTTATTTTTTTTTTTTAAGAAATCATTTTTCTAGGAAAAGTAATTTTCTCATTTTTAAATGAGATGATACAATCATTGAATTATACAAAACGAAAAGACAACTCTTTTTAAGAACATTGTTGTAAAGAGAAACAACATAAAAAAGATGGAAACTACCAATATAGTAACAGATATCCCTAATGTTGGGGAACATGGACAAACCAAGATTGATTATTATGACTTAAAATTAAAGTATAAGAACTTGAAGAATGAAATCGGTATGTTAGAAAAGAAGAAGAAAATATACGAGAAACACAATGTCCCAGCAGAAGATAAAGAAATACTTAATAATGAAATTAGTACTAAACAAAATGAACTTCAACAAGCTAAGACTATGTACAAAGAGAAAAAGTCTCAAAGAATGAAGGAAATTTTCCATAGATCAGCATAAAAAATCATTTGAAGTTATTGCTTATGAAAAATTTATTCTTCATTATCAATTTTTTGAGTTATTAAAAAAGTTAAATAAAAAACTTAGTGAAAGTTAAACTTTTAAGTTACCTTTTTGATGTCTAACGAACAAATCAATAATTTATCTCAGATGACAGATATACAAAACCGACCATCGGCACCTATAATTCCTGACCCCCAAGAACAGTACTATACCGGTCAAGTGCCTAGTCAATATGAATTAGAAATTGAACCTTATGAAGCACCACCACAGTACCCTTACCAACCATTCTCTAGTAATTTAAATTATGCCCCATGTGTTGATGAAGAAGCAGATAGTAATATCGAACTACCCAAAAAGAAAGGCTTATCGTCTTCTTCATCTGAAGAAATGAAAAAACCTCAAAGAGGGTCATCAAAAAAATCAAATTCTTACCTATTAATGATAATCATTGCTGACAAACTCTTGTTCATTTTATGGGTAGCAACACTCACCACATTCATTTTGATAGACAAACTTCGTCATGATAATTAATGAAATTTAAACCTTTGTGTTAAGGAATTTACTGAATTAATTGAATAATATTCCAAGCAAAAACTCTTCTAATTTTAATGGTAGTTTGTTGTGTACCTATTTGGTTAGTCATCCAAGAACGTATTAGTTGTTTAAATGAGGGATTAACATAGTTTTCAATGTCATTGATAATTATTTGTTCTTTAAATAAATAGAAATAATTTTCAATAGATAAGAATGGTTGTTCTTGGTTTAAATAGATGTTAGAATAGTTAAATGTTTTTGGTTGAACTATTTCTATACTAGATTCTTTAATAAATAAAAATGATTGGCTCATAAAGATTCCAAAATACTTTAGTTCTTCTGTTTCAAATAAGATGAGTGAATTTGATAAAGTTGCCCAAATTATACCCCCAACATCAATCTGTCTATCTTCATAATATAAATTGAAGATGAGTCTACTGTAAAAAGTGTTATTGAGAAAATCTGTAATATCAGAAGAAGGCACTATATTAACTTTACTTTCTATATTCTGTTTTTGTGCTTTTTGGGACAATACTAGTTCTTGAACTGTTGTTTCTCTTGGTTTTCTATTAACTTTATTTTGTTCTTTTTCTTTCTTTAAGGTTTCTGTTTCAATAGCATCCTTTAATTTTTTGATTTGACTATCTTTCTCTTCAATTGTTTTTGTATTGTTGAGGATAGAAATCTTTAGTTTTTTATTTATAGCCTTTTCTTTGTCTAACTCATCGACAAGACTTTCCCAAGACTCGTTAACAGAATAATATTTTTTTAGAATATCTTTGATTTTAGCTGAAATGATTTTTTCAATATTCTCTATGTTAATCTCTTCCATTTGTATTTTTTTAGTGTAGTTCTTTTTTTCATAAACATCATTTTTATACTTTGTACTAAAAAAAAAATATAAAATAAACACCAGTTATATTTCCCTGTACAACTTAAAACTTATTCTAGTGTAGTCATGACTCATATCCTGTATTTTCCAGTTCTACTCGAGATGATTTCTTCTTTAGAATTAATACCACAGTGATGGTGATTAACTCACAGATGACTAAGACAACTAACCCAATTCCAATAACATACCATTCTCCTACTTTGTAGAATAACTGAAAAACTGATAATAAAATTGTTGGGAGAACAAACAACGTTAATAATATTGGATGAAATGGTAAATAAAACAGAGCTTCTACTTCTGTTTTCTTAATATATGCCCTCCATCGAATAACCAAATATGAGCACATAATGAAGAGTGTTGAAATTGATAAGAACCACATTTGAAGTGACACAATTTGGTTAAATGTTACAAAAATTGCTATAGAGAAAGAAAATACAGATTGGAATAAAATTGCAAAATATGGTGTAGCAGTTCCTGCAAAGGAACGAGAAAAGATTCTTGGAAGGAAATTAAATTGTGTTGCATGGCATAATCCTTGAGATGATGTTTGTAAGAACATTGCTGCTAATCCAAATACACCACAAATTGTAGCTACTTCAATAACATATGAAAGTGGTTGCCATAATTTATTTGCCATAGCAACATATAAAGGTTCAATTGATGTGTATGGTGAATCTAAGTGTGAAGGAGGAATAGTAAAATCTAATGTAGTAACTAAATCCATAGTAGGAATGATATATGTCATTACAACAAGTAATAGTGCAACAATCATGGCTATTGGAACATCTCTTTTTGGTTTTTTAGCTTGTGAACTTACATTTCCAACAAAATCCCATCCCATTAAATTAAACATAACAATACTAATCATTTTAGGAAAAGACGCCTCGTCTGAAACAACATTGAAATTAACAAGTTGACTTAAATCCAATTTTGGTGTTGCAATGAAGAAAAGTATCACAAATGGTAATATAACACAAATGGTTAATATAACACCAACTGAAGATAACCTTTTAGCCCCTAATATATTTACACTGATTAATATGGAAATAAAAATAATTAATGTTGGGATTTTTAATATAAAATATGTCCATGTAAAGTCCTGGAAATCAAAGAATAAAAATTGATGATAAAGAGTATTTATATAATCATAATATAGTGCCATATATCCAGCATTACATGAAACATTAAATACTGTTCTAACTATTGAATGAAATAATCCAACATGATATCCGAAAGCTTTATACACCCATTCATTATATCCTCCCTCAAATCTTACAGATAGTTCTGCCATAGTCATTGATTGTGGAAGTGCCCATAGTACTGCAATGACTAACAAACTCCATAAACTCCATGCAGGGTTAGAAACAAGAATAGACTCTTCAAAACCAAAAGGTCCTCCTCCAATAGAAAAATAAACAACAACAGCCAAATTAAACCAGGTAATTGTCCCATGTCGATTAGTGGTATTAGCTTCTGTTGCTGATGACTCAATGACATCAACAGAAAAATCTTTTGAAATAGCTACAGCATAAGGTTAATATATTTCAAACAACTTTTCTTTTTGTGTCAAATTCATTTCATAAATATTGGAATACTTGCCAAAAGTAATAAAATCCACAAATAAAACCAAGAAAAATAAATAGTTGTGGACAAATGACAAACATGGAGTAGTTGATAGTGCAGGTGATGACATTATAACACCCTCATCTAAAATACTCATCACTTCTCTATTTTTTTAAGATTAAACTGTTTCTCTGTTCAACCCTTTTTTTAATCTACTTAACGTAACGAAATATTCCCGAACATTTATATATTTTTTCTTTAAAAAAATTTATAATTTATTTTAGCCAATTTTTGAAGTTCATTTTTATTTTGAAAAAATGTGTATAATAGAGAAAGGATAATTATAATGAATTATTCACCTCAAATTAACAGGAATAATACTTTACTTTGAATATACCAAAACTGAAAAATAAATTCCATAATTTATAATGTTAGTAAGTAATTAAAACCTAACTTCTAATGATTATTTATCTTTTTTATTTTATTTGAAGAAAGGAATATTAAAATCTTCAATATTTCATTTTTGTCATTTTTTTCAATAAAACTAAAAAATTCCTCTATTATTAAAACTATCTTCTATTTCTATTATAGAGCCAATTATGTTAGAATATAACTTTCTAAATATATACAAATTTATTTTTTTTTTTTTTGAGTAAGTAAATAAAAGTACGAAGACTTATGCTTTAGAAATATAGTGGTTAGATGATTAAAGGGTTCAATTAGATTATTCTTCCTTTTTTTATTTTGTAATTTACACACTAATTTATATCATTATCAAAAAATAGAGAACAAATACCCTCTCTTTCTATCATGTTTTACTACATACCATCTTTATTTCTCAACTTAATAAAATGATGATATAATTTTTTATTTAAGGTTAATAAATTTTTTGAGATTTTGTGAGTCTTGGTAACTTAATTAATAAATATTTCAATGGGTTATTAACATAGCTTTAAAAGACTAAAACATCTTATCATAATTATTATTTATGAATTATTAGAACATAATTTTTATTTTTAAAGTTTATACAGTAATAGTTTGGTATTATGTTATTGTCATTTCTATTATTTTTATAACGATATAACTTTGATGCATCACTTCAATATTTTTTTTTCTTGAATCTTTTGTTATTTTTAGATGCATTTATTCATAATAAGAATATTTATAGTTATTTCAATGTATTTCTTTTCAACAAAATTATTCACAATGTTCTTCAAGAAGTTTTATTTAAATCTATATGATGAAAATTTTTATCAAAACAATATCTTTAAATAATAAATATTTCAATTCATAAATGAATTAAAATTTGTTATTCAAGTTTTGATGAAAGCCAATCAAGACCTTCATAAAGACCATCTCCATTTGTTGCACATGAAGTTTGACAATACCACTCTCTATCTTTTATTGATGATAACATTAAACCTTTTGCAATTTCACTAACACTTTTAGCACGAGGAAGGTCATGTTTATTAGCAAAAATAAGTAAAGGAACACCTTTTAAATAGTCATCATTAAGAACATTGAACAAAACAACTCTTGCTTCTTCTAAACGTTCACTATCATCATTAGAATCAACAACAAAAATTATTGCATTTGTACCAGAATAATAGTATCTCCATAAAGGTCTTAATTTATTTTGTCCTCCAATATCCCAAATATTAAAATGAAGGTTCTTATAATCAACAGTCTCTAGATTAAACCCAATAGTTGGTATTGTTGTAACAAGATCACCAATCTTTAGTTTATAAAGAATTGTAGTTTTTCCAGCTGCATCTAATCCAATCATAAGGATTCTTGTTTCTTTTTTCACATTAAGAATTTTAGACAACCAATTTCCCATTGTTTAATTAATGAGTTAATCGTTAAATCTCATTTCTTTAAATACTGTTCAATTAGTCATTCATCAGAACAAACTTTCTGTTGTGGTTCTTAACCAAAACATTTCTTCTGGTTGATTTTTCTTTTCAAAAGAAAATTTGTTGAATGATTTTATTCAAATATGTTATATACAACGAAAAATTAAAAGAAAAAGGAATTTACTTAACAAAAAAAACCCTAAAACATCGACAAAACCAGAAATAATATTCATGACAAATATCCCATGGGAACAAAATCCTTTTTTTGCTACAGAAGTACCAGAAAATGGAAATGAGTTGTTTGATGCATTGGCAGCGTTAAAATATGAAGGAACACCAGATGAACAAGCAACTAATTTCAGAGAACAAGGAAATGAATGTTTTAAAGTTGGTAAAATCAAAGATGCTTTTGAATATTATACTGAAGGTATTCAAGCAAAGCCAACAGATTTAAATTTACTTGCAGCGTTATACTCTAATAGGGCTGCATGTCAAATTAAAATGGAAAATTTTGGAAGAGCATATGAAGATTGTACTGAGTCGTTAAAATGTGTTCCAAACAATGTTAAGTGTTACTATAGAATGGCAACAGCTAAATTAAGACTTCACAAGTACGATGACGCTTTAGTTTGTATTGACCTTGGACTTAACCTTAAGAAAAATGATCCAGAATTTATTAAATTAAGAGACTTCTGTACTGAAATGAAAAAAAGAATGACTATCACTGAAGAACCTAAAAATTATGAAAAGTTTTTACGTAAAAAGGGTATTATTCAACGTGACTTTGATTTAATGACTGACATGGGTATGTATATTCCATTGAATATTAATATTGATGAAGATTCAGATGTCTTATTATTCCCTGTGATTGTGTTATATCCTGAAAGTAATCAAAGTGATTGTCTTCGTGATTGTACTCCTGACACACAATTAGAAGATATCTTATTTACTCTAATGGCTGACGGTTTACCTTGGGATAAAGCTCATAGATACAATATTAAAAATTGCATAGTTAAAGTTCATGATAAACAAACTGATGAACAAGTTGTTATATTAAAACAAATGAAGTTAATGAATCTCCTTCGCAATTATTCTTTCCTATACAAATCTGCAGCCTTTTTATATGTGTATCCCGCTAAATGAATTTTTTAAATTATCATCTTAACCTTTTATTTTATCATTGAAATAATAAAATAAACTGATAATATGATGAAAGATAATACTTTGTAAAAAAAGTATTTTTTATTAAAAAAATAAAAAAGAGTAAAAAACAATAAATCACATTTAAATAAATATTTTGATATATATATCAAAAAAATAGATGATTCTATAAAAGAATAGTAAAAAAGTTAAATAGAATAATAAATAATGAGCAAGAAAAACAACCCTATAATCTAAAATTGATTGATTAGCTCTTAATGGCTGTCAGAGTAACATACGTCAGAAAACACTCATACAATACTAAATCCAATGGAATCAGAATTGTTAAAACTGCTGGAGGAAAGATGACTGTTCAACACAGACAAAAAATTTCTAATGGAGTTAGATGTGGTGATTGTGGATGTGTTCTTGCTGGTATAAGACACATTAGACCCCACCAATATGGATGGTTAGGAAAAAGCAAGAGAACTGTTACTCGTGCTTATGGAGGAGTTAGATGCCATAAATGTGTCCAAAAGAAAATCCTTAGAGCTTTTCTTATCAATGAACATAACTTAATTAAATTAGCTGCTGCTAAAAGCAATTTAGAAAACAAACAAAATGTTAAAGAAGATAAGAAGAAAGCTACTAAGACCATCAAGAAGGCTGATAAGAAAAATCAAAAGAAATAAATTGAGTTGTTTCTGATTGTTGTTAGTTTATTTAATAATTTAATGAAAGTTTAATTTTATTTGTTAATTAAATATTTATTTAAGAGTATTCAAAAAGGATAAATTATTAATAATAGAAATTTTGTTCAAAAAAATATCAAACTTTTCATTTATAAAAATGAATTCAATTGGCTTATGTAAGAAAAAAAACTTACTTGGCAACTCCACCTTTCTTTTGTGGTTTATATTTCTTTGCTTCTTCAAGTTCTCTTGCTAACCACCAAAGAGCACCAGCTGGTGATTCTCCATCTCCTCCACTCTTTTGTGCTTTTCTAACAGAGGCTTCAGCAGTTAAAAGAGCTCTATTCAATTCAGTTTTATCACCAGAAAGAAGTTGTTGAAGTTCATTATTTGCTCTCATAGCAGCAACACCAGTTCCTTGAGCAGCTTTCTTCTCTAAATCTTTCTTTTTGTCTTCAATCTTTTGAATTTCGTTTTGTACATCTTCCATTGCTTTTTGTGCTTTAATAAGAGCTTCATTGGTTCCTTGAGGTCTAGCCATTAATTCCTTAATTGTTTGGTTGTATTTGTATAAAAGGAATTCAATGAATGCAATTTTCTTAAACTTTGGATCTGCAACATTAAGTTTTTGTCTCATCTCTTGAACAGAGAATGGAATTCCTTCTTTTTCAAAGAATCTATGTGCTCCAAATTCATCAAGTTTACTTCCATTTGCTCCATTTTCTACATCAAGTTCAGTAACAAGGAAATATAATCTCCAAATATTTTCTGCATCTTTTCCAGCTTCAGCCCAGAAAGCATTAAGGAAGAAAATAGCTTGATCTTTATAATTTTTATTAGTGACGTCTTTGAATTCCATTTCTAATGAATAAAAATTTTGATCTGTTATTCTTCTTTTTAAGCTAACTCGTTACTCATTTCTTAATTATTTTATATAATATTTTTTATTAATTACTTTAATATCTTTTTTCTTTTATCGTTGAATCTAAAAGTTGGTAACTGTTTATATTTTGACGGCGATCTTAAAAATATTAAGTTTTTGGATACAAAAAAAAATTATTTAATATATAAATTATCTATATTTGGAACATTTGTTAAGGAAGGATAATTTTGTCTTAAATAACAATTATTAAGAGAAGTTGGAAAGATGATAGCATGAAGGTTAGAATATCCTATGTAAAGGTCAGTGATGTTACTTTCAGATAGATTTAATGACGACACCAGGGTACAGTATTCCATCTCAAAACGGGTTAATGTTTTTGGTATTTGTATATTTTCAAAAGAGGATGAGACAATGATAAGGTCTTTTAAACAAATAAATTGAGAAATATCAATATCGTTCATATTTCCAAATTCTAATGATTCTATTAGTTGGGGGTTTTGGAAATGATAAAAATGTTCATCATAAACCATCAACTTTGTAAGTCCAGTTGTAAGATCATTAAAGTCATTATTGGTTAATATTAATGACTCTGTCTCAAATCTTTTTAATGAAGATGGAAGAATTAGTCCATTTGTTTTACATTCAAATAAAGATAAAAATGTTAATTGAGGTAATAGTTTAATATTTAAAGGAAGAGTTGATTTTATTACATGTAATTCATTAATTGAAGTTGGTAAATTAGATAATACAAATAGATGATTATAAAGATAGAATTTATTAATTTGAATAGACTTGATATTAACGATATTAATAATATCAATTTGTTGTGAATTAATAAACATTGAATTTATAATATGAGGTAATTTTATTTTATTTGATATTATATTTATATCTAATATATCAAGTTTACTTAAATAATTTAAACTTGTAGAAAGTTTTTCAACAGATAATTCTTTTAAATAATTAGAAAATTGATGTATTCCTGTTATATTAGTACATGTAATATTTTCACAATATAACATTGATTCATTATATTCTTTATCTGATTTAATAATAGTTTCTTTAGGAAGATATAATAAAGAATCTTTATTATACTTTTCCATTATTTTTATATTTGTATTAAATTCATTATTATCAAAACTACCTTCTTTAGTTCGTATTGTGCATTTAGAATATGGAAATAATTTAATAATATTATTAATTTGTTTATCTGTTATGATAATAATTGTATTAATATTTTTTTGAATAGAATGAATAACTTGATGTATTGAATGAATTGAAAACTCTATAAATGTTATTTTTAACCAATAAATATTGAAATGGCTGAAGTCTATATATTCATTTATATTAAGAATAATATCTAATTTTCTAATATTTTTTATTGGAATATATTTTAAATATTCATATTTACAATGGTGAATTTTAAAATAACATTGTTTTAATTTTGAATACTTTTCTATTAGTTCTTTAATAAATTTTCCATCACATTCAATTGTTTCTAACTTCTGAAATATTTCAATTTGTTTAAACAATAATTTCTTTGTATTAA